TGACAAGCGTTCTGTGTATGACGACATTCTGACGGCGTACTGTGTTTGGCCTCACATCGATAACAGGTAAACGTATGGGACGATTCGGAAATCTGTGTAGATTTACCCGGTGTGAGCACTTGAACAATCTCTGGTGGTTCCTTTTTGTAATGAGTGAGCTGTTTGGTAACGTTTTCTTATTGAAGGACAATACCACAAACTTTCTCCCAACTGAATGAACCGTCATCTTTCGATAGCTGTCTTTTACGAGCTTTATCGTCCGAGACTCCTGCCAGTAAGCACTGAATTGCCACGACTTCTTCGAACTTGCATGGTGGTACCTCGTGATAACGGCAACCTGGAAGGGCTTGTTGGAAACGTAGAATGAAATCATCAACCGTTTTCTCCGCTTGTTGGTGCAATTTGTGTGTCAAAATGCCTCTGGCCTTCCGAACCGAGATATTGTCGAAGTAACTTGATTTACTAATCCTCTGACAGATGTATGTAAGAAAACCTCGATTTAGGATAGCAGCAAGGTAACACATCTTCCTTAATTGGGTAGCAATCTTATGGAATTACTGCCAAAAGAGTTAGTAGAACTACCTTCAGTACAAACCTTGAAGTTAGGCCTAGATCGAAGGTGGAAAAAAGTATTTTCTTGGTTGAGCAGTGACTTAGCTCTAACATTAGGGCATCTATTGAACGCTCATGTACCTTAACTTCTCTAGCCGAGCAGGTGAGATCAGTTGCCCGTTCCTTTCTTTGTTAGGAGGATAACTGACGGATTACTCGTTACATTGGTGGGTGATAAACTTGTGCATACCACCGAAAGAACTCTGGACACTCGTTGGGCCGTGGCCATTTCCTGTCCTGGTTCGAATTTCTGTTGTGGTGGATAAGTTTTGCCTTCGTTCTGTTTTTAATTAGTCCATATTAGTATAGTTGCACACTTAGAGTTTTTATTTTTTTGTTAGCTATATTTGTTCCAATATTTGCGCAGTTGCGTATTCAGAGTAAGCAAACTGGTATACAGTATAAATTATCAATCCTTGCAACAATGGGAAAAATATAATCTTTGAAACATTCGCCTAAAATGGGACCACAGTGTAGCATAGATGAGGAAGAGGTATATGAAAATTCGCGTTGCTCGAAAGGCAGCGTAATAGAAGGTATACAATGTGACAGGTGCGATGTGTATTTCCACAGCGTATATGGGAAGCTTTTCAAGAGGATGTACCAGTTATACCGAGAGCATGAGGGGCTGAGTTGTGTTTTCACTGAGTGCAAACAATGGATCGTTACAAGCCGGAACAAAGAGGTCCGGAAGAGTAAGACCAGGGAAAGAGCGCTACACACACAGGAGCCTGGAGAGAGCAGTAGAGCCAACAGCTCCTCTCAGATTGAGGATGAAACCCTGGTGCAGGGGGTTATCTGTAAAGTCAACGAAGAGGAAATAGAATTGCTGTCTCCGTTGCCTTCAAAAGCGCATAATGAAGAGAGCAGAATTCGAGATGGCACGAAACTATTTGCTGATGGAGAAGGGAAGAAAAGCAAAAAGTAGGAAACCGAAAATAGCTACCAATCCGGGCCTAGGAGAACCAGTGTTGGCACTAGAAGAATCCAATGAGAGTTTACCCACAGCTCTTACAAAGCTGAGCAAACCCAGTGACATTGCACTCGGTGGAAATGGGAAAATGGTCANGGCATCCCGGAACCGTTCAATGAAGAAGGAAGAGAGGGCAGTGAGATATCACGTGGTGAACCTCTTGCGCTCCGTGGAAATTCCAGAACATGTTTCCCTAAAATATGTGATACGATTAGGGAAATGAAAGCAGACACCGGATCAGGTACGGCGGCAGCCCATATCCGCACTGGTCGAGNCTTTTTAGCGGCCGCTGAGAGGAGTAAGCTAGCCAGTGAGAGAACAATTCAAGTTGAGGCGGATGATCAGGCGAGTGAAGAAATGTCGAGAGAGGGAACCTGTGTAAATCTCCAGGATTCAACATAGCCCTCCCCTCGCCAAGGCTGAAAATACATAGAATTGAAGAGGGCTGGCAGCGACTAGCAGTCCGATCACAGAAGCCCCCTGTGTAAGTCCCTTGAGGGGAAATCTAGAAACGAAGTCGACGTGATGAGTATACAAGAAAACGGTTGGACTGCTCGGGTGTGAGACCCGGGCAGAAGATACCATCTATGAATAAAGTTGAGACTGGCCGTAGTGAGAAGAGACTAACACAAGCGTACACGAATGCACTTAGCATTGAGAACAAATGGTCAGAACTGAGACCTCTGACAGAGGGTGTTGAGATTGTAGTGGTCACCAAAACGTGGCTCAGCACGCATGAAGAGGTGAATCAAGTGTATTCAGAGAGGTTTTCAGTGTACAGGCAGGACAGGATGGGCGGCAGAACGGTAGGGGAGTGATGCTCTTTATGGCGGACCGTCTAGAACACCACGCGGGCTTCATTCTGACCACCCTCAACATTCAACCTATTGAAGCAGACATAGCAGCAGCCTCATTCTGTCTATATGTAGCCTGTGTCTATCGAAGCCCTAAATCCACTAGGAAAAAAATACACAACTACTGGAGTTCTTAACTAAGGCTGTTACTGCTCGAAGAAAGCCGATAGTGGTAGGTGATTTCAATCTACCGGAGATCGACTGGACAGCCTGCTCTGCTCGAATCTTTAGTCGATTTGATCATACAAAGGGCTCTCTATCAACCTATCGATGAAGCAACCAGGTGGAGGCATGACCAAGCACCATTAACGCTTGATTTGGTCATCACAAAAGCGGTGAACGAAATTGAAGTGGTCCGGGTAGAAGAACCGCTGGGTAAAAGCGATCATGCAGTCATAAAACTGCAACTAGTGATTCAAGGACAACTTTTCCCGGATATTTTTTCGAAGTAACTTCTCAGGGATAGATCACAGTAGGCTGAAGGAGCTGGGTCAGCAGGACTCGAGGAATGTAAACCAGCAAGAGGACTACCTGGAGGAGCTGTGGATTAAGAATAAGCATAATCTCATAACATTGACAAATTCAGTTGCACCCCTAAGGAAGGTCAGATGGAGAGAGGTAATGCCTTGATGGACAAATGCAGTTAAAAAAACAATGAAAAGAAGAGAGCTGGCATGGTAAAAAGTAAAACAGAAGGACATTGAGCTTACCTAGAATACAAAGTAGCTCGAAAAAAGGCATAAGGTGACTTTAGGCTTCGAGGATGACACAAGCAGACTTCCTACATCGGCAAAAATCTTAGGCGTATCCTCTGATGTTTGCATAAAACCCGACCTACCCAGATCCGTCCGAAAGGACCCAACGCGTTCCAAGGGCCCAGGCAGAACACAATTCTGGGCAAAGCACATTATCTCGCCCGGAGTCCCCGAATCGCGGGGAGGTAATCCCCAAGAGGATGCACACGATGACCTCCCAAATGAACCTATGTAACCTCCAAGCTCGATATTGGGGGACTAGTGCTCAGCGGACTAGGCCGACTGCCTAAGCAAACGCGCATATCGGAGCCCAGACTACTCAGGGTTGCACTTCTCACCCAATCCATGACTCAAGAGACCCTTGAGAAATGGCATTCTCTGATAAACAAGTTCCCCTCAGACCTGCATCTTTATCGGTGCAGACCAAGGAGCGAACGCCAAGAGACAAGAAGTGCAAGCGCACTCACGGACGCACAGCCAGTCCTGCGCCTGACCACTGTGTCACTGTGTCAATCGCACCGTTCCCAGTTCCAGAGAAAAAACTCGACATTGTCAGCTCTGTTCGAGCTGGCAGTTTAAACCAAAGTACAAACTACGCACACAGCTCCAAGTTAGAAACCCCTGCACAGCAATGCACGTCAAAACGAACTCCGGCAACAGCGAGCAGCCTCTCCGATTTGTTCACAGACAATCTGCCCGCAGCAAGCAACAAGATGATAGTCGAGTCATGGGGCTGTATCTACACCAACAGTCAAAGCCCGTTAAACAAACTGTGTAAGCTCTGTCTCCAGGTCGACTACCACTGGCCACTACTGGTCGGCGTAACGGAGACCTGGGCTCACTCAGGGATATCCGACGCCGAACTGAAAATTCCCGAGCTAGACATCCTGCGACAGGATAGAACATACGGCATAGGTGGAGGGTGTGCCCTTTACATCAGCAGGAAACTAAGGTCTGTGAGGATCATGGATCCTGTACTAGAGAGGGTACCGGAGAGCGTCTCAGCAGCCATAACACTGGACAGCAAAAGGCAGTGCCTGGTGCGTGTTATTTATAGGCCACCGAATTGCTCACCGTCGACGAATTCTGCCATAATAGACGTACTAAAACACGTCATTAGTTTGAACTATCACCACGTTCTGAAAATTGTGGGTTTCAATTTACCGGAGATCTGCTTTAGTACGTTGACCCGCCACGCGGGACCTGGGTCCATATCCTCAGTCTTCTTTGATACGGTGATAGACCTAGGGTAGCACGAGCACGTCCGGCAAGCAATCCAGTGGCGAGGGAACTCGAGACCCTCGGCGCTACATTGGGTTCATACCGGCGAACCCCATATGGTCGACCAACTTGAAGTTTCTACAGCAGTTGGACTAGACGACCATTGTGTCATACCATTCACATTCGTACACACCACGTGACTGTTACGGTCGATAGGGTTCACTCGCCAGAACCTACGTAAGGCCAACATTCCTCGCACGCGAGCCTTCCTGGAGTTTGCTCCATGGCCCCTTAAACCGTCAACGATCATTGGAGCATGGTGAGGGGATCCTCACCGGGGCCACGGACACAGGTTCTGCCATTCAAGCCGAAACAGTGACTGCGTCGCCGTACAACTACACCTTGGCACGGAAAATACGCGCGAGGAACCAATACCAAAGGTCCCAGAGCTCCCAGGATTGCGAGACCCACTTTGCAATGCGCAATCAATGTAACCTACAAAGAAAACAAGATTCCAGTGAGCACCACAGGCAGTTCTTAAACCGGGTCATTGCGGACCCGAGGAGTTTCAATACGGACATCTCCATGCTGACCCAGGGAAAACCCGGGATAACAGACATCCGTCATGCGAATGGATCCGTTACGGATGGCAACCAGGCTGCAGCTAACACCCTGGCTGAGCAATACTCCACGGTATTCCGCCCAGAACTTATTAGTCGAACAGACGGAAGCGGTCTTCCCGAGGAAGACTTCATACCCAGCAGGTTCATGGAACTTGTGCCGTCTTCCCTTGCACAGGTCGAACTAAAACTGGCAAGTCTCATCGCTGAAAAGTCACCGGGACTTGATGAGATACCACCTTTACTACTGCAGCAGTGTTCATAGCAGTTACCACTACCCCTAAGCAGACTGTTGAACCACTCTGTGGAGTAGACGTGGTCCCGGACGAGTGGAAGACATTCGTGGTCTCTCCTATATTCAATTCGGCGGACCGAACCTTACCAAACAACTACCGTTCGGTAGGACTGCTCTCGGTGGTCTCAAAGGTAACGGAGGGACTCTTTGACGACGAAATCAACGACCTTGTCAAGCTGGATCGCGGCTTGCACGATGTCGAGCACGGGTTTCGTGGGAAGCGATCCTGCCAAATCAAAGTCATTGAGAAGATGAAGTGGTGTACATGTGCTGCGGAGAGAGGGGTGCAACTGGACGTAGTCATGCTATATTTTCCAAGGCCTTCGATAGATTTCGTCACATCTCATCAAATTTGAAGGACCTTTTGTCATTTCTATGGTTTTTGTTCGTCGATATACCAGATCGGTATTACTTTTACTCAAACACTAACGGATTCACATCACGATTTGATTCAACCACACTCAATTCTCTCGGATTTCGGAATTCACACAAAAGCACAACCGGGTCGGATGGCAAGTTGCTCTTCACTACACCCCTCCGTCAAAAATGTCCGTCCCCTCACTAGTGAGTACGAAAATACGTTCATTGTTCACGAAAATCTCGGATTTATCACTTGTTTTCCGTTCCAAGATTCACGTTCATACTTGTCTGATTTGCATACAAGAATCTTGGCTNCTGTACCGGCTGGACAGGAAACCTTGTGGCAAGAAATCCGGTGATGGTGTGGTTACCTACGTCAACACTTCGTGGTGTGGCAAGTTAGATGCCATTTACTCATACTCAGGTAACGTTATTGATTGTTTATTTCTTCAGTGTTACCCTAAATTCTCCCGACATTGAAGTACCTTCATAACGAACCTATATTTTGCTCCGTTTTGTACGCAAAATGCCATCTCAACATTCTTCAACTCATTTTTACCTTTTCTTGTATCACTGCTTCAGAACAACCTGCACATCATTGTAGGTGATTTTAACCATGCTTCAACCCGGCCTCTCACTGTTTTTGATCTAGCAGATTTATGCGTTTCACCGACCAGAGATAACTCCGTTTTAGATAGAATTATAACAATTCACCCCGAATTCTTCTCTCTCCATCTCCGTGCCCCCGTATCAACCAGTGATCATTATCTGCTCCTTCTTAAACCTAAGATATATTCCCGTTCTGCCTTCCATTCATTTAGGCAAAGTAACCAAATCAAAATCCATCTTCGAAACACGTCACGTAAATGTATTCTTCTCCTTCAAAGAACCCTATCCCATGCATTTTCATGGCTTTCCCTTGAGCCTTCGTTGAACAACAATGTTAATCTTTTTGTTGACACAATCGATTCCATCTTTCACATCTGTTGCCCGGTGGAAACCCTATTTCTCTCCGATGGTCGTATTGCATCGCCTAAACTCAAAACATTTAGGAGACACAAGGAACATTTCTATAAATCCCGGAATTCATCAATTATCAGCTACATTTCCACCTTGATAAAAAAAGAAATTAAACGTATCGATGGAACCTATGGGAATCAACTCCTATGCAGCCAAAACAGGATGCATCTATGGAAAGTAATTCGGATCTTATGTGAAGCGAAGTCCAAACCCGATGAACGTACTATGGACGTTGAGAGTATAAATCAGGCATTTGTGCATCCGAGTTGCAATGCTCCTGGTTCATGGATTCCGGAAGATGCAGTTAACATAACCCCGTTCTCGAGAGAAGAAATATTTAAACTCCTTCGTACAACTAAATCATCCACTGGTATTGATCCCGATGGTTTATCTTCATCCCTCCTAAAGCATGCTGCCCTGGCTCTAATGGATGCTTTTACTTCTATCCTCAACACGTCACTTAGTTTATATTCAATTCCCAATTGCTGAATACCCGTCACGATCATTCCCATTTCAAAACCGTGCAGATCCAGCACCCTGTCCAAACGTTCCCGTCCCATTGCTCTAACGTCGTGCGGTCTTAAACTGGCAGAACGTGCAATTCTCAAACGCCTTTGTGCTTCCTTCTGTACCCCCAAAGACCATCTCCAGTTCGCTTATAAATCAAACAGGTCCAATTTGGATGCTGTTGACTCCCGCGTTCATCACGTTACCAAAGCCTTAGACGCATCTGCGAAGTCTGTAAGATGTGTTTTATTAGATTTTTCATTGGCTTTTGACTCTGTCCCACGTTCCGTCCTTCTCCGTAAACTGGAATCATTTGGCTGTCCCAAGCACCCACCGACGTGGCTCGTCGACTACTTCACAAACAGAACTCAGCAGACTCGGCTCGGTAGGAAGACGTCTAAACCACTCGTGAACAATTCGGGAGTACCACAGGGTGCCGTACTGTCTCCGTTCTTGTTTTCCTCATACATCAGTGATCTGTCTGCGAGTTCTCCAGCCCAGTTATTTAAATATGCTGATGACGTAGCCCTCTGCCAAGCCATTTCTGTGCCTGAGGACCTTTTTCATTTCTCGAACAATCTATCAAGTATTCATGAATTTTCCGTTCGATCTGGACTGTCTCTTAATTTATCTAAGTGCTTTGAATGCACTTTCTCCCTTTCTCGATCTGTTTATCCTCGTCATCCGTCTGTCATAAAAACGGATCCCCTAACTAGAGTTGATTCTGTGAAGTATCTGGGAGTTACAATTGACACTAACTTAAAGTGGACATTCCATATTTACAGCCCTGTACAAAAACTTCGCAAATTATCTTTTCAACTTCGAAGACTTAGGCAGTTCAATGCCAAGCAAAAAATCATTTCACTTTTTGTTTATCAATGTGTTTACCCCGTTCGTTTTTATTATTCCCCGGTGCTTTTTGCTGGTCTACTAAAGAAAGACTTCAAAATTCTTCGTCGAGGTTTGTCGATCATCAGTCGTGTGTGTTTTATACCCGTTGATGAGCTATCTAAAATACTGTATGAACTTCACTTGTCCGCATGTGAAACATTTTCTCTTGCTGACCCCAACCATCCTTTACATGGCGATTTATCTGAATGCTGCTTTCATACGTCTACACGTTCTTCTTATCGACTATTACACACGCATTAGTCTCTACAGAAATACCCCAGTTCCCTATCTTGCCAGAATCCTTGTAAACCGAGAGCGTCCTTCCTCAGAATTTCTCAGTATCCTTAAAGGCTAAATATTTTACTTGTATCTTTCCTTCTATTGATGAGATGTGTAAATGTTTGACTGAATTGCGAACATTCCATTCTCGCAAAAGTCTACACAAATACAAATACAAATACTCTCTGCTGATATAGAAGCTGGCCAATCTGGAATTTCCCGAAACCCTGATAGATTGGGTCACAGACTATCTGTGCGATCGAACCTTTTGGTTCGACTGGACAGCGTCCTCTCAGATAGGTTTGGAGCACCCAGTGGGTTACCCCAGCGATCCATCTTAGGCCCCAGACTGTTCAAAATATTTGTGAACGATCTTTCTGCAGGCATACAATCAGACCTTCCGATGTATGCAGACGACATTAAGATCTGCCGGGAGGTTCAAAGCCCGTCAGATAAGTGCACCTTGCACCTAGACAGGCCTTTTACCTGGTGTGTCTCAAATGGGTTGCCGTTCAACCTTGAAAAATGCAAGGTTATGCATATTGCAGGGCGTTGTGCAAATGACTACTTGCTCGGAGGTAGAAAATTGCAGAGGGACAGGCACGAAAGGGCCCTGGGTACAGTCATTACCGGTGATCTGTCACAGCAAACTAGCTGCAACACACTGGCCCGTAGGGCAATGTTCAAACTCAACCAACTTAGCCGACTCCTGGGTAAATTCACACCAGAGTCTTTCCCCAAGAATTTTACTACGCTCGTTAGGCCACATCTAGAGATCAATATCCAGGAGTGTCCACCGCTGCTTAGGAGGGATGTTAACGCCATTGAGCGGGCACAGCGGAAAGCCACCAAACGAGTACAGGGCTGGTCACGCACACCCTATCCGGATAGACTCCATTTACTCAACTTGTAAAGCATGGAATATATGATGGTAAGGGGCTACCTGATCCTCATGAGGGACACGCTCAACATTCAGATGCACCCTAACAGGCATCTGTTCACGATCACCCCTCCGTCAGCACTGCGCGGCCACTCCATGAAACTGAAGAGGCAGCGTCCCAGACTGAGAGCTCGGGAACACTGTTTCTGGGAACATGTAAGTCGCCCGTGGAACTCACTGCCAACGACAGTAGTCCAGGCTAAAAGTAAACAGTCCTTCAAAAAGCTGCTTGACTAACACAGCCGAACTGTGCTCTGATGCTGCGTTCGACATAATGTTACTGACAACCGGAGTGCCCCCAACCTGGACCATCTGAGCACCGGCCTTTGATTGTTTTACATTGTGTATGTTTGCTGATGAGGTGATGTGGATGTGACCCCTGAATTTTTATCTTTACTCTGTTCTCGCTGATGCCAGAGCTATATTCTGCGAACAAGGCCGGAGACCGGACGGTCGGTCACTCGGTATGTATCACGAAGGTAACTCACCCAGGTGATAAAACACCCATCCATCACTAGGCACAATCCCCATCCAAGCAAGGCAGCGGGATTTGTGTCCCTCGTGGTCCAGAAAAAACTTAAAATAGAAAACCCACCGGCTAGACAATAATGCGAGGAACAATCGAAAGTGAGTGTTACGGCAGTTGATGCACCGCAGTTAAAACGAAAGGTTTTCTATTCTTCTTCTTTATTGCTGTTTGTTTTCTGTCATTTGCACTCTTTGCTGTTTGTAATTTCCTGTTTGTTTAAACGTTCTAACATAACATTTCCGACGTTCAACCCGGGACATATTGCTTGGTCAGCTTGGTTGAGCTTGGTTTACATTTTCGTTCGATTGTTTTCTGCGTTCTGCTTGGGTGAGCATACATCCAAGTATGTTTCTTTCTATTTGTATAATTTATTATTTGTTTTAGATACCGTACAAACGTCGTGGTCTACCGTCTGTATTCGTGTTTTTCGTTGCTCGTTCTCGT